TGTTTCTGTGACTCAGCGTGTTTCTGTGACTCGGCGTGTTTCTGTGGTCAGTGTGTTTCTGTGACTCAGCGTGTTTCTGTGACTCAGCATGTTTCCCTGACTCAGCGTGTTTCCGTGACATGTCCATGACACCAGACAGCCACTGTTGGACCTTTATTGGCACATTAGGACATAAAAGCAGAGTTAAGGGACAAAAACATCGGTGGACACTTGAAGTGAGAGAAGGATCATTTCTCGGGCGTTTCAGGGGCAGCCGGTCAGCTGCAGGTCCAGAGCGAACTCCTCCAGCTGGGAGGTGTAGTCCCTACACTCTGGAGAACTGCAGTCTGTGGGCCACAGCTCCACCAGGGCGTCCGAGTCCAGCGGGAGTCGGTACCTGTGAACGGAGCGACAGGTGAGCGCCGGCAGGACGAGCCGCAGGTGAGACAGCAGAGAGACACCGACCTGAAGCTCTGGCCCACTTTGACCTCCGACCCGCTGCTTCCCATCACCAGGTACTGTTTGTCCTTCTGCAGGTCCACACCGCTGCAGGTGGCCTTCTTCACGAGGTCCACCTCAGTCCCTGAACTCACCGCCTCCAGATCTGCAGCACAGAAGAACCGACAGAACGGTCAGGAACCGATCAGAACCTTCACTCAGTCTCAGGTCCTGCATCTCATAACTGACCTCCAACACAAGTTTAATCTGCAGCATCACACGTTTTCATCAGCTTCAGCTGCTGGGCCACATCGTTGTCCAGTCAGAACCAATTAGATCCAAATGTTCAAACCCAACAGAAAATATCTAACAAACAACCTCACCTGAGAATGAGATTGTTTATCATGAAATATGCTGATTCATCTGAATCGTTTAAATATTAGCATTTATTTGTTATCTAAGGTAAAGATAAAGAAAACCCGAAACACGTAGAAGACATGAAATACTGCAGAATGAATTTATTTTAATGAATGAATGAAAAAAAAATATTCAGAACAACAAAGCGTCTAAAATCACATCAAGTTTTACCAAAACGACTCAAAAACGTCTACGATGAGAAAAACGTTTCCAAACTGTGGAAGTCCAGAACCACTCGCAACTCGTTTCTATGGACGCTGTTGGACAACAGCAGGAACCATGAGCTCAGACCGTCTCAACGGAACCAGAATAACGGATCTTAAAAGAACCCTCAGCAGAATCGAAGCCGTTTGAGTCTCACCTTTGTCGGAGTTCTTCAGGACTTCGACTACGGTGGCCGTGTGGCTCATGAAGTCTCCTTCTGCTGCCGAGGACTTGACCGTCACCCTGTAGGCTGCAGACACACACACACACACACGTTGTTGTTGTGGTTGTGTTGCTGTTGTGTTGCTGTGATGGACTCACTGACTCTGGTTCTGACCGTATTTGATCTGAGCTCTGCAGGTTTCTTCAGTGCGTGTTTCTGCTGTCAGCGTCACGTCCAGGTTCCCTCTGTAGGCAGCACACGCAGCTACGCAGCAACACGCAACCACACACAGCAACACGCAACCACACACAGCAACACGCAGCCACACACAGCAACACGCAACCACACGCAGCAACACGTAGCCACACGCAACCACACACAGCAACACACAGCAACACGCAGCGACATGCAACAGACATGAAACCGACACACAACAAAACGGAAACAAAACACAAACAACTCGTAAACAACAGGCAACTTCAGTTGTGTACAGGTGTTGTCTGACCTGTGTGATGTCAGCGGGCCTGAGCCAATCAGAGCCCTGCAGTTACCTGTCATGCACTGACACTGTTCGGCCACACAGAGGCGCTGCAGCCTCTGCTGCTGGTACGAGAACTGTTTGCTGCACAAACTGCCTGAAACAGGAGAATGGATTGTAGAATGAGTCAGTGTTCGTCTCTACGTTGACGTTGTGTCTCTTTGTTCCTGCTTCATGCGTCTTTGTCGTCGTTTCATCACTTTGACTCCAACAAAACGATTGACAGACACCATAAAAGTAAAATGAATGGAAGCTTTGGAAGGAGAAGCAGCATTTCAGAAACCTCCTCTGGAACATCTGGGTTCAGAAGAACTCCTCTTTAAGTTCAGTTCTGGACGACACCCGACAGACAAACGCGGACCCGCTCACCTTTGTCCTGAGGCTCACTGATGGTGAACAGGGCCTCACTGGCTCCGCTCACACTGAACCCGGTTCTGATCCGAAAGCCAACACACAAGAAGATGTCTGAAGGAACCTGGATGTGAAAAGACAAGACTTGAAACAGTTTGGACTCAGTTTATATGTTACGTGTGGTTCTGGTTGTTCCACAGACTCACAGCGTCCATCTGGATGACCACAGTGTTCCCCTGCAGCTCGTAGTGGGAGATCACAGGTTCCATCGCGTCTCTGAACTGCAGAACATCAACATCTTACGCATGTGAACAAGTCTAAGGTTCTTCTGTGGTTCTGGTCAACGTTCAGACTGACTCAGCGTCAGAACAACTGTCAACACACGTCATGTTAAATATTACGTCCTGATGGCAAGATTCATTATCGTCAAGATAAAGGTTCTGGGTCAGGTAGGAGGTTCTGGGTCAGGTACAAGGTTCTGGGTCAGGTACAAGGTTCTAGATCAGGTAGGAGGTTCTGGGTCAGG